TAACTAAGATCTACGGCTTTGAGCAACGGAAGAGCACTTAAAGATGTTACAAGGCGTTCATTGAACGCATTACCCCTTAGATTTAGAATTTTCAATTTCTTGTATAGGGAAACCCTTTCAAAACCTGTAGTCATGCACGGAAGCTTTCATTGCCAAATGAAAGAGATTGCATACAAATCCAAGAAGACCAATGCCATGATGGGTTAACATCATATTTATTACCTTTCGTAAAATAGTTGTAGGAGAGATCCAGTATCTCCAAGTTCTCCAAAGCTGCAAATTTGTTCAAAATAGATGTAAACGCGTACAAGCATATAATTAGAACATGCATGTTATTGCAAAAAATCAATTAAAAAAGTAGGTGGAAGGAACAAAAACATGCCAAGAGCAGGGAAGCATCCTTCCAAGTAATTGTCATCGAGATGCAAAACTCTGAGGGAAGCCAGAGCACCCAATGAACGAAAGATGTCATTTCCAATGTTATTACCACTCAGGTCCACTATCTCCAACTTCTTCAAACTTGACAACCTTCCAAGTCCTGCAAAAAAAGGTTATAATGGTGCTTTTTAATATCAAAGAAGATAACTTTGAAAACAAATAGCTAATAATAGGAAAATGAATGGCGTGATTGGTAACATAGGAAGTATACATACTGTCCTATATGCCTTAAGGTATTCTGCTCATACTATTGCCTCTAAATGTCCAACATTTGGTCAACTTATAGGCACCATCAAGTCTAAAAACTCATTGCATCATTTGAATCCAATTTATTGATAATGGTCCAACATATATATCAAGTTTCCAGATCCAGATCAAGCTAATATAATACGATAGTAATTTGGGCAATGATGCAGATGATACCTGTGTTCACAATCCCATCATCAAGACAATTCTTTGACAAATTGAGACTTGTTAACTCTTTGAAATGAAGAAACAGAGAAACATTTAACGACCAAATCCTATCGCAGCCTTCAGCTACTATGTTGCTCAGAGACAGCTTTGTTACATCTCCAGTGGTTGTGTTGCACGTGACCCTCTCCCAATCACAACACTCACCACCAATACTACCATCATCAACCCAACTCAGGAGAGGAGGGGCCACATCAAGAACATATGAATCAGCAAGGGAAGTTTTGATTTCTAAGAGTGCGTTCCTCTCCTCCTCTATACAACCACCTTGTATTCGACAAACCATGAGAATAAGAATCGCCATCAATATCAACAACCAATAAAACCATGATTTATTCTTACTCACACACCAACACTCCATTTTACCTGATACACTAAGAATGATGGTGTTTTATAGACACACACACACACACAAAAATAAAGCTCAATTTCTCCTTTTGGGTTGGCTCTTATATAGAAGAAATAATCTTGTTAACGCAATGATTTCAAACTTGCATGGGATTATAACATTGAACTTGCTATAAAATATCGTATTTTCTCCGTTCCAAAAATTTTCTTTACTTTCCTACACATTTCCAATTGTTTTAGAAAATACTGCATAATACTTGTACCTCATCAAGTCAATGGTCGTTTTCAATCCAACCCTACTTCATTGCGAACCACTCCATCTACTTGTCCCTGTCACTACAGTTGCATCATATTGGAGTATGTATCACTCAATTGTAAAGCAAGATGAAAGGCAAGAATTGTATTCAATGAAGTCCATGGCAACATTACCGCATATATTTGTGGTTATGGTTTATGTACACACTCATAGATGTATTTGTATGACTTACACAAGTGTATTGTTTGCATTTCTAAATGCTATCCTCCATAATTTTTATTGTATACATGTATATCTATGGTTATGGCATGTGCATACATTTATAAATGGATTATATATATTACTTCGTGTGAATCCTTATTTTTATACGTTGTATATATGTATTTTCTTAATATAAGTCATCAAGTCAATGATCAATTTCCCATAAGTCTACATATAAATCTAAACTTGATTTCTAGACCCCCTTTTTATTCCTTTTGGAGAGATAAACATAGAGTGTGATTTACTCTGAAAACTAAAGACAAAGACTATTGACTTTAGAAAAATCAAACCCAACTTTAGATAAATTGTTTAAATGTTTATATCTACAAGTGTGCACAAATTGCCAAAAGGTCCACCTTTACACAATACTTGGAAATTGCCTAAATTCACACTTGCACGCTTGTACAAATTGCCTAAACTAATAGTCTCTCCGTCCCAAAATATATGTCTACAATGAAAGTGCACATTGTTATAGAAACACGTAGCTATTACATTTTTTAGTTAATTAAATGACAATTTTACTCTTGATAATAAAGAGAGTAATAAATTTCACCATCTCATAAGCAAGGGTAGAATTGGAAATTATGAACTTACTTCTAAAAGCGGACACTTATTTTTGGACAAACCAAAATAGAAATGTAGACCTTGTTTTGGGACAGAGAATATACTTTTACATTGTGATACCGAAAAACAGAGAATGACCTAGAAATTTATTGAAGTGATTGCAGAATTTGACTATAAAAAGATATCTTTTTTTTTTCCACGATATATTTAATAACCATCTCCGCTATTAAAGTCATCGCTTTGGGATTAGTCGGCTCGCATAACGGGTTAGATATCCAGGTTAATAAAAAAAAATCTACATGGTGGCATCCAACAAAATCGTGATTCTTTCCCCTTACTATGGAACCATGAAAAGTTGGCCCGTCCAAAAATTTTGAAAACATTATTTTTAGGTTGTACGGACGGGACAGAACAAAACTCCCTGTCCGATGTTTGGCGCATTATGGGACAGAACAAGAATCACTGTCCCATTATTTGACCCCTAAGTAGTTTGTTTGCAAATTTGTTAGTGATTTTGTAGAAAATTTGGATTAAAGGCCTCATTTAGGGCTTTCATCCTTCCAGAAAATGGGTTCACCACTGTAAMCGTGGTGGTGGCCGAAATCATGGACCTCAAGCCGCTATACATGATGATTCTTGGACCAATCGATRTAAAATCCAACAACGATCGRAACCATATGACTAATTTAAAGGATAGCATTGTTCTTACARTCGATGGTTGCTGAAAACTCGAACCGAACCCGCCGACTGTCTCCCCCGATTTGACACCAATTGAGATGAGAGTTTGGTTGATTTTCAGAGGRTTTTCATTTCTTACGTCGTCGGTTATATACAAAAAAYGTTGAATCTTCAACACCATGACCTCAAATCAAGYCAGRGAGCCACATAGAAAATCCACYATCATCTGCTTCTTCACATTCCCCACAGTTCACAAGAGAAGTATAATTTACAAAACAGGCACTTATACTTTCAACTAACGACATACGACCCCTTCAAGTTAATGATTGTACAAAATATTAAAATTCCTAGACTGCTCTTTGAGGTTGCGATCGGTTGTGATCGGTATTACAGGACTGGTCAAAACAAAACTTATTGTTCCATGTTTTGGGCTTCGTAGGAACACAAGCTCAGTGTTCAACACGACTTGATGAGACAAAAAACATAATTATCATCGTTCTTATCGGATAAGATTTTCGTCCAATTCAGTAAAGAAAATGACATGTAAACACCTACCGGGTAAGCATTTGATAAACGGTCCCTAAACTTTACTCAATTTAGGATCAAATAAATGAAACAATTGGCAAAACTTGATCCAAACACACGTATTTTATGCTCATTGAAAAAATGCATCAACAACCATGCTTATGAACTGAAAAACATCAGGATTCTTGACAAGTATATTCATTAGTGATTAGTCTAGCTATAAATTCTTTATTTTTCTAGGAAATAAGAGAAATAGTCATCAGGGAAAACCATTGTTCAGAATTTGTCCATAATTGGAATACAAATACATACGAAAGCCTGTTTRCATTTATTATATCACATTTTCTTAAGGAGGTCCTATTTACGGAAGAGCATGAAAAAYTTACGTACAAAACCATTAAAGAAGTCATAACATGTATACATACATTCTTCAACCAAGTCTAGCCACCTTCTATGCCAATAAGGATTGATGTAAAGAACAACAAAAAATCCTAACAAGAACACRACGCATGTTGAACCAAAACTTCCATAAAATGATGTCATATTGATATCATACCATTTATCACTGCCTTCTTTAGCGCCTTCTTTTGTTGATGGATCGGTCACTTGTGATGTAGTCATGCATTTCTTCTCTAAYGGTGGTCCACAAAGAAATGGATTCCCTTCATAGATCTCCTTGGTAAATGTACCAAATTGTGCTTTCATTTCTGGGAGTCTACCTGATAGATTGTTGTAAGAGACATTGAAGACAGCTAGARAAGTAAGTTGAATCAGTTGTGATGGAAGTTTGCCACTCAAACCATWTGAAGAAAGGTCCAAGCTCTCTATCTCCTTAAGATTTGAGAATTGCATTGGAATAGGTCCAAACAACTGATTGTGAGACAGGTTCAGTGAGTGCATCTCGGTCAACAATCCTAATTCTTTTGGGATTTCACCTGTTAGTTTGTTATCTGATAGATCCAGTCCCACCAAGTAATCAAGGATTTTACCTTTGTAAGCGTGAGAAAGAGCTTTTGTTGTAAACAGAACTTCGTCTTCCATTTCAAACATTTSTGTGTCGTACATGGTAGAAGAAACATCGTTACGATGTAGATAACCCATATAGTGGTAAAAGGAAGCCCCCAATGCCCCATTTGGGGATTTTTCGAAAGCAGGGTAAATAGGGRTGGTAATATTTTGTAGGCAACTAGGTATCGAACCAGAAAGAGAGTTACTAGATAAATCTATCAAACTGACATTACTTAATTGGCACAATTGCATCGGAATAGAACCACTGAAGTTATTTTTTCTCAAAATAAGAATCCTTAAATTGGAAAGTTCACCAAGAAACTTGGGTATCTTTCCTGACAAGAAATTGTTGCCTATATCYAGTGTCAAAACATCAGTCAACCTATGAAAGGCCTTGGGTATTGAGCCGGTGAATCTATTGAAACCCAAATGAAGATGTTTCAAGCTTTGAAAATTTACGCAAGATGGRATGGGCCCTGAGAAAGAATTTTGTGAAATATCGAGAAACGAAAATGAAGTTGTTCCACAAGGAAACCGACCTTCCAAAGTATTGTTTCTCACCATAAGTGMAAATGAGGTGCCACTCGTGTTGCTTATCCAAYGAGGGATCATMCCTGTAAAAAAATTATTGCTAATATCCAAATRCTCYAKAAGAATATCKTTGTTACCGATCTCATTCTCAATTTTTCCAGTAAAACAATTGCTATCCAAGTGTAGCCTCTGGATGTTACCCACACTTAMGTTTCTTGAAAGTACCTCRCCACGCAACATGTTGTTTGATAATTTCAGTACTTGTAAGGAAGAGAGATCTGTAAACAATTCCTTTGGCACTTCTCCTGAGAGCGCATTGTYTGATAAATCTAGTGCCCATAATTCACTCRRATCACCAACTGAAGACGGGATAACACCATYTAWAGAATTGCTTGAGAAATTTAAATAACCTAGATTCGGAAGGAACTTTTGTATATCAYCCGGAATAGTACCATTCATGTGGTTCCCAGACACATCCAACCTCCTTGTATTAGCATTCTTATATGGCAACATACTAATATTACCGCCAAACGAGTTGTTCCTTAGACTAAGACCTTCCAACATTGTATTATTTTTWATCAACCAATTTGGAAATTCCCCCACCAAGGAGTTGTGAGATAAGTCTATTACCCGCAACTTGTTTTGGTGAAGCAGAAACCCTGGAACAACACTTCCTTTAGCCCTATTCACATTGCAATTAGATAGCACAAGGAGTTTCAATTGGAACGTTGGAATCCAACCTCTCGGCTCTTCTGTTTCCACCTCAAATTTGCCATTGTCGCATATGAATACAACTACCTCAAGTTTTGCATGATTCGAGAGCAAGTTGAATGAGAATGAACCCCCAAATTTGTTATTACTAAAATCAACATACTCGAGGGATGTGAGATTSGCAATCGGTGATGACACAAATAATCCCGTGAATTGATTTGAAGAAATATCCAACAACTTAAGAGATGATAGACTATTGAAACATTGAGGCACCTTTCCATCGAACATGTTGTGACTAAGATCCAACTCATAGAGGTTCTTCAACTCACATAACCCTGCCAAAAGAGAACAAAACAACTATGGTTCATCCTTTAAGAGTAATAATGACTTGCACTTTCACTTTCTTATGTTATAAAAAAGAAGAACTATTGGACAAATGTAATGTTACAAAAGGAGCATCCCAAATTAGCTATAATGCATGAACTTCCCTTAGTTAATCGTACATGCTCTAGATAACTTACCATGGTAAGGTAACGTGCCGTTGAGTTTGTTGTAAGCGAACGAGATAACTCTAAGGGAAGATAATGTACGTATTGTTGATGGGATGCTCCCAAAAAATTGGTTCCAACTCAAATCTAAGACCTCGAGACCGTGGAAAGATGCCAAAGCTGCATGAAAACAAGAGAAGGTTGCATATACATATATGATGAGTTGGTAACTTGACTAATTTTTTTAAACAACAATAACGAAGTTGTAAAGAAATGAAGGAAAACAAGCTTGCCTTCCATTGGTAATGTTCCATTCAAAGAGTTATGACTCAAGTAGAGGGTCTTCAAATCACTAAAATGAGGCGTTTCTGAATTGGATTAAGAGACACATCAAACAAATGAAGATCAGCAGACTTAAATATTGTAAATTGGGATGCATATGAACACTAATCAAAAGATTGGACGATTTATTAAAAATATTGCCCAAAAACAAATTTTAGTATATATAATTTAAAAAAAAAAACTAATCAACGATTACTAAAAAATTTAAATAAAAATCTTTTATATCAAATAAATACAAAAATAATATATGCTTCAAAAAATAATTTAAAAAATTAAAATAAAAATACAATCCTTTGCAAATTGTGTTGACCCGTAAGCCGATCACATAATACCTTTAAAACAAATAATTTTTTATTTCGATTTTTCTAAAAAATAAAAATTAGTATTTAAAACACATTTTTAACAATCTAACCATTTGATATTAGCAATAGCAATGATTGAAGATGACAAAAGCTCAAGTCAAGTGTCTCCAACTGTTTCAAGCCAGATAATTCTGCACGTAAAAAGAAAATTAGGATGACAAATTAACAGATAATACAAGTAAAGATGACATTTAATCTTTTTAGAACATGCCTTGAATGGGAAAGGAACCTTCCAACAAATTATCTGCAAGATCAAGGGTCTTGAGAGATGGGAGAGCACTTAAGCAAGAAATAATACTCTTCTTGAAACTGTTTGTTCGAAGATTTATACTCTTCARCTTTTTCAACCTCGATAACCTCATACAATCTGTAAAACAAGAAATGAAATAAAAGAAACCATGATTACGTAAAATTTGTGGTTATGGAAGAATTGAAGGATACTTACCAGACAAATAGCTCTATGTTTTGACGTATCACATATGCAAAAGTTACCATGACTAAATCTCCTTTTACCTTGGATATCTGGTGTCTCATTGAAGCTGTTATAACTTAAATCCAACTCCTCCAAGTTAACCATATAGGGTAATTCTGTCACGAGAAATAAAACATAAATCAAATCATATGCTATTTTGGAATGTACATATAGGGTATTCTTATGATAATCGATGCTAAAAACTTAACATGACAAATAGATAATAGTAACGTTGCTATTTAGTCTTTTAGAACATGCCTTGGATCGGAAAGAAACCTCCGGATGACTGAAGACCTAATGAGAGATCAAGCGTTTTGAGGGATGGGAGAACACTTAAACAAGAAATGATGTTCTTGTCGAAATTGCTATATTCAAGAGTTATACTCTTCAATCTTTTCAATCTCGATAACCTCGAACAACCTGTAAAAAGAAAGGAACTTTTAACTAAGAGAAACTATGGTCATATAAAATTTGTAGTTATCGTGACTAAATCTCCTTTACCTTGGATACTAGTTGTGTCAATGAACTGGTTAGAACTTAAATCCAACTCTTCCAAGTTAGCCAGATGTGCTAATTCTGTCGAGTGAAATAAAACAAGTATTAGTCATATACGTGTTATTTTGAAATGCACATATTTTTTTAAATATATAATATTTATTTTGAAATGTACATTATCATACTAGTTTGATCCAAGTATATATCACTATAAAACAAATTACTTTTACCCACAAAAATCAATTAAATAAATTTCCTTGGGTGATTACCAACGGATCATGATTCGATGTATATAATCGTGTTTTTGAACGATCCAAATCGAACATTGGTGTTATGAAGTTCGGCTCATTAAATTAGACGAGTTCTATTTTGTGTTCGAGATCGATTYGAGCTCCAGAATTATTAAGCTCGAGCTCAAAATAAGAAGATGAAGTCTATTAAAAATATGTTCATTTTGGAAAGGAAAAAAAACATACAATAAGAGAGGTCGGATAACGTACCTTGAGCCGGAAACGATCCACTTAAGAAATTGTAACTAAGATCAAGGGTTTGAAGCAGCGGAAGAGCACTTAACGATGTTATAAAGCTTTCATTGATTTCGTTACCCCTAAGTTTCAAAAAYTTCARCTTCTTGAACAGGGAAACCCTTTCAAACCCTGTAGTCATGCATRCAATGGAAGTTTTCAGTGCCAGCATAAAAAAGATTGCATATCCAAGAGGACCAAGGGCATTATAGGTTTAAGATGATATTGGTTACCTTGGATTTGATTGGTTTGGGTACCATCATAGGCAAGGTTGGTGAGATCCAATGTCTCCAASTCCTCTAAAGCTGCACATTTGTTCAAAATAGATGTAAAAGTGTATAAGCATATTTAGAGCATGTTGCTGCAAAAACTAGGTGGGAGGACSAAGAACATGCCAAGAGCAGGAAAGTATCCTTCCAAGTTGTTTCCACCGAGACGCAAATTTCTGAGTGAAGTCAGTGCACCCAATAAAGGAAAGATGTCGTTTCCAATGCTATTATCGCTGAGGTCCAATATCTCCAACTTCTTCAAACTTGACAATCCATCAAGCCCTTCAAAAACAAAGTTATAATGTTGATTCTTGATATCAAGGAAGGTAGAATTGCTAATAACATACATATGATTGACTAGCATGATTGGTAGAATCTGTATACATATGGTCCTATGTGCAGTAATCAAGGTATTTTGCTTATTTCAATTTGCCTCTGGCTGTCCACCATTTGGTCAAGTCAATTTACTTGCAACTAATTCAATTTCAACAATCCATATGAAGCTAATATAGGAAGTTAAAATACCTGTGTTCACAACAATGTTATCAAGACAATTGTATGACATATTGAGACTCGTTAACTCTTTAAAATGAAGAAAGAGAGAGACATTGAACGACCACATCCTCTCGCAAGGTTTAACAACCCTCCCCGTGTTATCTGCCATCCCCATCATGTTGCTTAAAGACAAGTTCGTTACGTGCCCGGTGGTTGTGCCGCACATGACCCTCTCCCAATCACAACACTCGCGGGTGCCACCGTCATCAACCCAAGTGGGGAGAGGGTCTACACCATATGAATCAAAAAGGTAAGCTTTGAGTTTGAGTAGTGACTTTCTCTCATCTTCTATACAAACACTCTGTGTTTGCCAAACCATGAAAGTATGTATCATCAATATCATCAACAACCATGACTTCTGTTTACTCACACGACACCACTCCATTTTAGTTGGCACAATACAATAACAATGATGGCTTTTGTASAAACTCACAAATAATGCTTAATTTCTTCTTTTGAGTTGATTCTTAAATAGAAGAAATAATCATTTATTAGCATAATAAATAAAAAAATTAAAAAAAAACTCGGTACTTTCTGGGATCATCCCCAATAAAGTGGTTATGTGGAAATAATACGTATCAGCGTAAAACAAAATCTTAAAGGTTTAACAATAAAATATTTAGAGCATTTTTAACAGYTATATTATACAATAAATTAATCTACATAAAGYAACAAAATTGTTTTAAAAAAGAACTTTAATTMTAATGTTTTAAAAACCTTACAGTTATAATAACTAAAAATCAACTTTATTAATTATATGTGAATTTGTATAAGTAAAAATTGATGATTAATTAGTTTATTTATTTTATTAAATTATTTTTTAATTAATTATATATTTAAAATAAATGAATAAATATATATCTCAAATTCTCAATAGGTTTTATTATAAAAAAATGGATAGGGCCCTCACTTTAACCTTAARGAGCGGTTTCCCTATGAAAACCGTTCTAATGAGGTGTTTGTGATTATTTATTTGAAAAAACTTATATTTTTTTTATAAAAGTTATTATCAACTTATTATAAATTAAAATAATTTAACTTTTTTAAGAACTTCTTATTACTGGTTTGGTAAGCTGTTTATTCAAACATTTAAAAGTGTTTATTACCGATGTCACATCGGAATAAGTMAATAAGATGTTTTTATAAGCAATCTTAACGCCCCCTTAATGTTAATAAATCAATGGATCGGTTATCRATATTGATGAGGTGGCAAAAAACCTTACCATCACAAATGCTTCTAAAAGTTTATAATAATAGTTYTTATAAGAACCTTCTTTTTGTGAGTTATATTGATTATTTCAACATCAATATTATWACATTAATAATTATAAAGTCAAAAAATAAAATAAAAAATAAGAAAAATGTCACTTCTTACAAACTTCATATTAAGAAACAAGGTTCTTGTTCAAACACCTAGAAGACATGAGGTTCTTCTAAGACCCTCTCCACAATGGTAGGTTTTAGAGAATCTCCAATGCAAGGTTCTTATTAGCAAAAACGTAGTGGTTCTTATAAGAACCCCATGTCCTCTAGGTGTGCTTGAATAAGAATCTTGATTCTTACCATGAAGTTTGTGAGAAATTACATTTTTCTTATTTTTTATTTTATTTTCTTGACTTTATAAATATAATAATTATTGATATTGAAATAATCAGCGAGAYCCACAAAATGAAGATTCTTATAAGAACTAGCATTGCCGACTCTTAAGAAAGTTCTTGATTTGATGAGTTGGAGATAATTTGACGATAAAAAGTGTAAAAAAAATGCTCTTACAGGTCATTAAACATTTTACTAATAAAAACTTTGCGTTAAAGATGTTGTTATAACATAACTATTAAAAGATATCATTATCAACAACATTATTAATGTCACAAAATAAACACGAAAATTCTTGGTCAATGCAATAAGTCAATATTCGTCTTTTCATCTAATTTGGTCCCAACA